CTTTGTGTGCATTCTCTTGGGTAAATTTGTAGATTCTAAAAAAAAAATAAGTAAATGGATTATTGAAATTTAAGCTAACAATGTAAGTAAAACGTGTTTCAAATAACTGATACATCTCACAGTCACCTCCTTGTCGTTTATAATGTTGGATAATGATCATAATTTAAAAGCTGTCTTCTGGTTGCCTGCAAGTAGCCTGCCTGCTCCTTGGCCCCCCTGGTGGTTGATCTGAATGGGTGAATGCATGAGCGCAATTATGGAGTGGGGGGTGCTTTAGGTTTGTAGTTGGCAGAGAACTGGTGTTGTAGTCTTTTGGAGTACAGTCGTTTAGCTTGTTACACTGCCTTGCTAAACCTCTACTTTGACTCCCCGAAACTGGCCCTGTCTCCACTCCTAAACACCTTTACCTTTTCCAACCTTAGCTGTTTGAGTTTAGCTGTGAACCAGGGTTTTGTCATAGTTCAACTCACCCTGGTGCGTGTTGGTACACAGCTGTTGTCACAGAAGCTGATGTAGGACGTCACAGCCTAACTGATAACATCCCATTCAGTACAGCCCAAGCATGCTCAAAGGTTCTGCATAGCTTAACTGGTCCGCTGCTTTGATATCCTGACAACAGATTTACAGGCTGTGGTGAGTTACATATAACGTCATTGGTTTGCAGTTTTGAATCAAACAAACGTGATGATCCTTGCTTGTTGCCCTATTATAGAAGACTGTCGGTAGCTAGCATTACATTAGCAACAACAAGTACCAATTAATTGTAGATATGTAACTTAGGGTTGTGTTGCATTTCAGATTTTGAGAAAGGAGAGGCTCAGTCTAATGAAAATTAACAAAAAGATTTAATTACAAAAATTAGTGAATAAAGAGATGGCATTACAGAACAAACAAATAACACTGCAGTGAACTGAAAAGTTGGTCCTCCTTTCAGATTTACAGCTTTCAGTCAAGTCCTAACAGACTGAGGTAAAGCCGCCTCCAGCAGTGGACTGAAAAGCTGCTTCTCCTCCCAGATCCACAGCTTACAGTCCTGATTCTCACAAAATAAATTGTTGATATCCTCCAGGTATGTGGGCGGGTCCATTTTACCTCCAAATGGCTTAGGTCCATAGCCATTGGTCGTTAACTTCTTCGTCACCCAGTTGGGAAGGGTGTACCTTACTGTTCTACCTTTTGGTCGAACAAAAGAGCGCCGATCTCAGACGTGAACCCCCCCCCTTCAATCTACAGGAATAAACTGTCCTTTGCTCTAAACTAATCATAGAGAACAACAGGGCTTGTCTCCAAAATGGTTGACACCCCATCTTAAGTGTCAATGAAACAGTCAAAACAAAACAGTCCTTCTGGCACTAAACAAAGAGGTGTCAGTTTTATTCACATTACAAAGAGGATACAAACAATGGTTTAATCAACATTCTAATGCAATTGCCTGGCCTAACATCCTGCAGTTTTACATTTGAAGAAAAACACTGAAACACTGGAATACATTAAGTTTGTTGTAACTTTTTAAAACTCAACAGTTGCCAGGTCAGACGGTCAGTCAATTCAGCAAACAGCGCATGAGTTAGGACCCTCCCGGTGGCTGCAGGGCCCTAAACAGCCACTTAGTTACTAGACTTATAGGAAGGGCCAGCTCAGTTGCTGTTTGATTAAAGGCATACCAGTCATCTCAGTTATGAACTCTAACAATGTCTCTAACCCCAGCAAATGCCCATTGAGCTTCTAGATCACACTGAGCAAAGCTGGCTATGCAAGCCAAGTGGAATCATGGGCGCATTAAAATTAATATGCTTTGAGAAAGTAATGCAGGAACATTTGGCCTCCAGCCAGAATTGGCTAGAGCAAATCCCCAGTGGTGGCTGGTGAAAAATATTTTAGGTTGGGCTGTGCCATATCCAGTCAGTTTCAGAAACCATCCCAATACAATTTAACACAAACTGCAGGATACCAGTGCTTTGTGAGATAGTGAGAAATGATTTAGTGCCAATATTAAAAAGTTTCTTACACAAAAAAATAAACAGTGAACATAAACTACCTTTGAAAATGGTAGCTGTCTTAAGGTGCTCCTCCCACACACTGTCCAGCGAGGCAACAGGATCTGCTGAAAACGGAAGGGTTGTCAAAGGATTCTGTCTCACTGTTAATTATTTTTGATAAAACGTGCCTGTTCCTATCCACCTCTTCATTGTGTTTCCTCACCCCAATCTTGTGGCCTCGGCCCAGTTGTGTAGCGATGTTAACTCTGCCTAGCATGGCTAGCTTCACCATATTATCCATATGTGCCCTCATTCACTCATGTTTCTTAATCTTCTCAGATAAATGTTTCGTGTCATTTACTCCTGTAAAGGTCCATGTTGTATCAGTCCATTTTAAACGCAAGCATAGGAAAATATAGCATTTACATAATTGCCTCCAGCTAGCCAATGCTGAAAGCCTGTGTCTTGAGTTCCGCATTCATCATTGTCAACAACATCATGTGTCACTCTGCCCCCAACTGACTTTGCTTAGGGCAGATCCTGTATCGCCCTTCAGGCATCAGATTTGAGGACGCTGATTGGCTTAATTTATGTTGCTATGGGCATATCTTGTGTCAGTTATTGGCTGCGCTGCTGTGCTGCCTGGGCATATTTCTAGCGCCCCAGAAGAGATCAGTGGATGAGCAGGAAGCTTATTTCACCCCCAGACAAAATTACACTGCTCAAAAAAAATAAAGGGAACACTTAAACAACACAATGTAACTCCAAGTCAATCACACTCCTGTGAAATCAAACTGTCCACTTAGGAAGCAACACTGATTGACAATCAATTTCACATGCTGTTGTGCAAATGGAATAGACAACAGGTGGAAATTATAGGCAATTAGCAAGACACCCCCAATAAAGGAGTGGTTCTGCAGGTGGTGACCACAGACCACTTCTCAGTTCCTGTGCTTCCTGGCTGATGTTTTGTAGCATGAGACGGAGTCTACTGTTTTGTAGCATGAGACGGAGTCTACAACCCACACAAGTGGCTCAGGTAGTGCAGCTCATCCAGGATGGCACATCAATGCGAGCTGTGGCAAGAAGGTTTGCTGTGTCTGTCAGCGTAGTGTCCAGAGCATGGGGCGCTACCAGGAGACAGGCCAGTACATCAGGAGATGTGGAGGAGGCCGTAGGAGGGCAACAACCCAGCAGCAGGCCACAGGTGGGGGCTGTGCTTACAGCCCAACACCGTGCAGGACGTTTGGCATTTGCCAGAGAACACCAAGATTGGCAAATTCGCCACTGGCGCCCTGTGCTCTTCACAGATGAAAGCAGGTTCACACTGAGCACATGTGACAGATGTGAGAGTCTGGAGACGCCGTGGAGAACGTTCTGCTGCCTGCAACATCCTCCAGCATGGCCGGTTTGGCGGTTGGTCAGTGATGGTGTGGGGTGGTATTTCTTTGGGGGGCCGCACAGCCCTCCATGTGCTCGCCAGAGGTAGCCTGACTGCCATTAGGTACCGAGATGAGATCCTCAGACCCCTTGTGAGACCATATGCTGGTGTTGTTGGCCCTGGGTTCCTCCTAATGCAAGACAATGCTAGACCTCATGTGGCTGGAGTGTGTCAGCAGTTCCTGCAAGAGGAAGGCATTGATGCTATGGACCGGCCCGCCCGTTCCCCAGACCTGAATCCAACTGAGCACATCTGGGACATCATGTCTCGCTCCATCCACCAACGCCACGTTGCACCACAGACTGTCCAGGAGTTGGCGGATGCTTTAGTCCAGGTCTGGGAGGAGATCCCTCAGGAGACCATCCGCCACCTCATCAGGAGCACACCCATGCGTTGTAGTGAGGTCAGGCACATGGAGGCCACACACACTACTGAGCCTCATTTTAGCTTGTTTTAAGGACATTACATCAAAGTTGGATCGGCCTGTAGTGTGGTTTTCCACTTGGATTTTGAGTGTGACTCCAAATCCAGACCTCCATGGGTTGATAAATTTGATTTCCACTGATAATTTTTGTGTGATTTTGTTGTCAGCACATTCAACTATGTAAAGAAAGGAGTATTTAATGAGATTATTTCATTCATTCAGATCTAGGATGTGTTATTGTTGTATGTATTATGTGTTAAAGGAAGTTTTTCCTTGCCTCTGTCGCCTAGTGTTGCTCTTGGTGGGAATTATTGGGCTTCTGTAAATAACATCATGGAGTACAGTCTAGACCTGCTCTTTTATGAAAAGCGCTGTGAGATAACTGTTGTTGTGATTTGGCGCTGAAAAAATGTTGGTACTAAATAACACTTCTTTTAGGATGTTCTCATAAACGGATTATGATATGATAAACCTGTTTCATTAGGCCCTGACAGATCTCCATACACATGGTGGTTATCTTCATTCTCTGAGTCATAATAATTATGTTGATTTCCGGAATTTTGCACGCAAGCCTCAAAACCATATACTTTGTGTAACAGCAGGCTGAATGGATAACATTTGTGTGGTGCCAAGGTATGACAGCTCTCCAGGCCATACCTTGTATTTCAAGTATATAATCTTGTGATGTGAAAACTGAAACAAAGACATTGGTTGAAACTGGGCTGAACTTGGTTGAAAAGTGGAAGTTAAGGTAACTTCCGAAATGCTGTTTAAACAACAGTTATATGTAACTAGATGTCCAGAAAATACATTTTGCCCAGTTTTAATCTAGACACCTAGACATCTTTTGACCAGCAAATCTTGCAATGCTTGCTCAAATAGTAAGGCGGTATATCAAAAACAAAATGCTATTTAAACTTGTGACTGTATCCTCATCTCCTGCCGTATACCCTACAACCATTGTTTACTGGCATATTCTGCTGCCTATTTATATGCCACTGTCCACCAGCAGGTACTGTTTAAAACTTGCAGCTAATATTAGAACATTCAACTGGAAGATAACAACTTGTAGAAAACAACCACTCATGTGATGAGGTAGGGTATAACTATATACATGCTCTGTAGTGTTTTCTAAAAAGGGGAAAGCAGGCCTATATATATAAGTCCAGTTTATTTGCATAGTCCAATATCACATTAAATGTCTAAGTGGGCTTTACAGGCCCACAGCAGAACCAATAGTTCGCAATCAGACCAAGCTCTTCAAGATTACAAGGAAAGATGAACTCAGACAGGTGCTTGATATAATCCATAGGTCACAAAAAGAAGGCAATTACAAAAGTCAACATGACATTTGTACAGTTCATTTAAATACATAATGCAACAATGGGACTATAATGCAACAATAATATTATAATAGAAAAAATACTGATGTAGTAAAACCCAATGTAAGGAGACCAATTTAAATGATCCAATGAGTCCAGTAGAGTTAAAAATCATAAAAGTAAATTAATCCCATGGTTACAGTTATACAGTGAAACTGACTCATTATAATATAGTGATCACACAAATGCACCCATGAGAATGCACAAAACAAACCAGTAGAATATAATTGATGCTTGTCTTAGAATGACATGCAAAATACACAAACTTTTTTGTACATTTATTCAAAAATCCTAAAAATAGTTAGTGCTTCATAATTTATGAAATAATCCCTGAGTACACACAACATATGGACACCTTTCTAAAACAAACCCATACTTTCACAATTAACCTCTACAGTTCCCTTTTTTTCACCATACATCCTTCTTGTAGACAAATGTTTTTCTTTAAAATTAGCGCTGCCATGTATTACTAGCTGTAGTCCCCCTATAAAGTTAGCATGTTTTGAGCATTGTTTTGAATAGATGCTGATAGTTAGCTGTCTAACATATTTATGCACGCTGTTATGCTTTTATGAGATCGTTTTGGCAGTTTTTACTAGAATTCATTTAAAAAGATTTAAGTGAAAACTAACGCTAGGCTAATCTAGGAACTAAATAATAGAGACAGTTGCCTTATTTCAAAGCCACAAACTAACATTAAGATACATTTTTCTGTTAAATTTAAAAACCTGCAATTTACCTCGGTACAATGGAGGTGAATGGAATTTTCTTTGTGCTGAGACATTTCATGTGGAAAAACTAAAATGTGTTTCCAGAGGCAATGTCCCACTTACTCCACATTTAAATTGACTGATTAATATCTGTTGACTGAGAGTTGTAATGTTTTCAAAGAGAGATGTAATGATTTCAAATGTTTTATCTTTAAAAGTAAATATCTATACTTTGACATTCCATTCACCTCTGTTGTACTGGGGTGGCAGTAAAGGTCTCAGCAATGAAAACTAACATTGGGGGTAAGAGGGTAAATATGTTTTTGTTATTTGGTTAAACTTACAAGGAAATTGACAATTCACATTGTTAAAACATTGTTAGCAACAACTGTTTATTATAAATAGTTAATTAAAAAAAAAACCCTTAAGATTTATGGATGATTAATCCAATAATAAACAAACAGCCTTAAACTTCAACAACAGAGCATAGTTCCGGCATTTCCAGCATCCAAATTCTTTGACAGTTCACAATTGAGTGTACTGACTTACATGACAAAGAAACAAACTACCTCAAAACTTCAAAGACAATGAAAATGTATTAATTGTTGAGCCAATGTCGTCTCAGTTAAATATTACTCATGAAAACTATACTCACACACACTCACATATATATATGTATACAATATTGTCCACTGACAAGTTAAAGGACAAGGCTGAATAAATAAATGATGATGTTTTGCAACCCATTTACTCATGCTGATGAAACTGATGGCCTTCAGTCTTCAGATCTCAACCCAGGTGAACACCAATGGGAGACTTTGGAGAGGCCACATCTCCGCACCAAATGAGTGAATATCTTTTGGAAGAATTGTGTTTGTACCTCCAGCAGAATCTTTTGTCAATGACCAATGAAGCTGTTTCAGAGACTTGTGGTGGAACAACATAACTTGTAATTTGTCACCCATGTGTATATACTTTATATATTCCAAACCTGAATACTATTTTAAGCCTTGACAGTAAATGCTTTAAAACATACAAAGCTTGTAGATAGGGAATGATAAACAACCCCAATTTTAAATAAAAAAAAACCATTACATTATTAAGACTGTGACACTAAACACACATTAGGCCTATTCTTTTCAAGGCACATTCTCTATGCAAGATAAGCACCAAACGATGCTTTTGTGATCAGTTTGTAGCCCTCTTCGATCCACACACTCACAAGATCTCCTTCCAGCAACTCAAAAAGACGTCCTACAAACACATTCCGGAACGCTTGTGAAGTGCACGCTATACCATCCGAGGCCTGTGTCATGGCTACAGTCTTGTTGTAACCTTCATTCCATTTGTTAAGCACTACATGGAACCCTGTGAAACTTGCAGTTTTATCCTTTTCTTGGCAGCTCAAAGCAATCCTCACGTAGACAAAATAGATGCTTGTCTCAGGAATCACAATGGCACGTTTCTCTGCGATGTATTTTTCACCAAACACCACTTTCCATTCGATGTTTACTCTATCAGTGCTGTTGTTTGCAGCCACGGACCCTGTAGGATGAAGGACACAGAGTAAATCAAATGTTTCATTAAAACAAATAATTTGTTGTCTATTTTGTTTGCTTATAATTTATACAATTTTCACTATTCCACTATAGAGGTTGTACCAGAAGAGGTTTACATGGTTTCACAAAAAAACACCATATTTTTGTCATACTACACATTGCTGCAGCTCCTCGTTTCACCCTGTGTGTTAAACACTTCGTTTTAGCTATGGAGTGATGCATCTTACTTCTACAAGATCTTTGTTGGGAGTTGCACATGCAAGTTCCTAGTTAAGGACTACTAGCCAATCAGAAGTTGAGTAGGGCGGGTTGTGAGAAGCCAGTAAACACGGCTTCATTTCAGCTGTATATCCCCTTACCAGCTTAGCAACATGGACTGGAGCAAGAGTTTCAGAGTAGTGAGTTATTGATCTGTAACAGGGGCGATTCTAGGATCAGACTTTTAGGGGTGCTCAGCCCCTAATGAGAATGTAGCATACATTCAAAGCCTCGCAAAAGTGTTCACTAATTGGTGTAGAGAATAAGTAGGCCTACTAGAGAGGAGCTGGTGCAAAGCGGAGCAGGTCGTCAAGGGCGTCACTTTGTGTTGAAAAGTGGCGGGGACATAAGGGCTCAGATTAGGGGTGTGAGGATACATTTGGGTCATGAGACGTGACGATGCATCAGAACAACACAAGAAGATTTTGAGGATTAAACTGGTAATTTCCTGCATTCTGCTCCAATTTACGGTGGAAATGTCTTTTTCTCTATGAGGGAAAACTATATTACAGTGCATGTTTTCTTATTTTGCAAATCAACCTTTTTCAAAACATTTTCATTTGTTAACATTTCTTGGTGTAGAACGTTTTCAACAAATCAGCCATTTCAAAATGTGGCGGGGACATGTCACCAGCGTCCCCAGTGTAAATGACACCTGTGGGGTCAGTGGACCAGTTAGGGTCAGACAGCATTGTGGAGTTGTGTACTCGGGAAATGTGGAGCTGTAGGCTCGTGTTTACTCCCTTGGAGGAGGGAGGGTGTTAAAAGTGTTCAGTCTTGTGTTTTCAGTTAAATCTTGTTACGTGCTTGCTTTCTCTTTTAAAGAAGTGGTATTATGCTTTTTGGCTTTTTGACTCTCCTTTATTGAGTTATATATCTTTTTTGTGCAGGTAACAGGTTTGCAAAGTGAAAAAGCCCAAAGTCCAGTCCAAAGTGAGTTCCCATCTCCCACAGAAAACTCTGCTCTGAGCTGCCTGAAAACAGCTCGTTTGTAGTCCAGCCTTTACTTCCCTTTCTTGTGACGTCACAATGAAAATACGTGTCATAATGCTCACTGAGCAGCTAGTTTCGACACGCCCTCACTGATCTGCAGCACACAGCTCCCCTCTCCCTTCCAAACACTAGCTACCCTCCAGGCAGTCAGTGGACATAAAGTTCTTACTGTGATGTAGAGACAGAGCTCAGTTAATAATAATACTTTATGGATGAAAGATTCTTTTGTTACAGATTAATAACTCACCACTCTGAAACTCTTGCTCCAGTCCAAATTGCCAACCTGTTCGGCAACATGTACAGCTGAATCTGTTTACCATCTTTTCGCTGACCTGCCTTTGTCTGCTTCTGATTGGCTAGTAGTCCTTAACTAGGAACTGCGCATGTGCAACTCCCAACAAAGATCATTTAGAGACCAGATGTATCACTCCATAGCTGAAATGAAGCCTTCAACACAGGGTGAAAAGAGGAGCTGCAGCAATGTGCAGTCTGACAAAAAAGATGGTATTTTTTGAAAATTAAACCATGTAAACCTGCTCTGGTACAACCCCTAAATAAGATTTTGAACCTGAAAATGAGCAGAATACCACTTCTTTAAGGAAGTATTTTTCTGTTGCTGATTGAGTTTAATTTGTCAGTGTTATTTGATTGTTAAAAAAAATCTTTATTTTCTTTGCACAGAATCTGTGAAGTATATATTATTTCTATTAGTATAATATTCTAACTAATTTCATACAGTAGCTAAGTCTACTGTTAGTAGTGTTGGGCAGGAACTGTACTAATATTACTTTTCTCATTTTACATGTACTCATTTTCCCAGTAACTAAAGGATCTCTCCATGCAGGCTTTGGTCGGCTTCAATGTCCGATCTCTGTCTTACCCCCTTGGACAAAACGTAGTAAACCGGTGCAAAAGGTTTTGGATTGAATCCGCCCCAGATTGGCGCCGTTGAGCCAATCAGAATTCAGCTAAAACGAGGATCAGTACAAGTTGGGAGTGGCCGCTCGAATATCCCCCCTCAATGTTGAAAGTAGCCTATTAGTTTGGCCCAGACTGACAGACACACAAACAGTGTTCCACTCAAGGGGGAAAGCCAGAGATCGGACAGTGAAGCCAACCAATCATTGTAGGCCCAAAAATTACGTCAAAACCATGTGACACCCCGTTGCACTTGAGAGATCTAACCGTATTAGATTTTAAGCTCTCAGCAATCTAAAAAAACTATTCGGCCATCAGTGACGCTGCATTGGAGTTTGACAGGTGAGCCTCGTAGGTGGGCTGATTAATCAGTGACTATCCAAGTCAGACAAACAGCACGCAGCTACCAGAATTACGGTGTTTCTACGTCATTAAACCATGGTTTGCTGTGCGATCATGCGCAGTAGTGCCAACAGGAAGTAGTATTTTATTGGTCCAAAACTGGCTTCACTCCTCTCCATTCAAATCAGCGGGGTGGCTTCGTCCAGTAATATACTGTCTATGGTTCCGCTGCAGCTGACAGGTCAGCCAGCACGGTCGCGGATCATTAGGTAAAACATTAGAAACTGAAAAATGCCAGTATTTAGGGACATTAAACACGTATAATGTAAGAAAAGCCATATGAAACTGTAGGTTAATTAGTTGTCCCTTCTCTTACTTTTCCAAAATATAACGTTAGAGGACAAATAATTATTTTCAGAAAATAATAATAAATGATTGTATTATTTTTTTAGGTGTGCTTAGATGAAAAATTTATTTTTGCTTCAGCATCCCTGAAAATGGTCTAAATTGTTTTTGGGAGTGTGTCGGACTAACCACTAGGTGAGCATTATGACGCACATTTTGCTGTGATGTCGCAGGGAAGAAAGGGCTGGACTACAAACAAGCTGTTTTCAGGCAGTTCAGAGCAGAGTTTTCTGTGGGAGATGGGAACTCCCTTTGGGCTGGACTTTGGGCTTTTTCATTTTGCAAACAAAAAAAGATATATGACTCAATAAAGGAGAGGGAAAAAGCCACGCACTGTTGAAACACATAACTCCTAATCAAAGCAAAGGCACTCCAATGAAATCATGATGTGGACCCATTTCCTGTGCTAGTTTTATGCCAAGAAACACATACACAACTTGGTTGTCTGACATGCTGCAGATGTTTTGCATGATCTCCTAAGACCAGATGTGACTCAGGTCACACTTTCATGACATACTTTTATAGCTTTGTAATGTTGGGGTTGTGATTCATTCGGCTAAGATTTGTTGATTTTGTATTGATATTAAAGGCTACACTTAGTTCATCTTTGGAGAAGTATTTAGGTGTGTACACATGGAATTTACAAAACAAATAATACAATACATGGATGACAATAAGAAGTAAAAAATATAAACTAACATAAAATACATGTGCTTCACTCACTATCAGCCAAAACAAGAGTCACTCAAATAGTAGTGAAAACTCAAGAAACATACTTACTTAGATGAATGCGCATTCTTTGTGGGTTCCTTTGAGGATTATCTGTAGCTAGAGAAAGTGAGAAGAGAGAGGTTCAAAATATAGCTGCTTGCTTGTATACTATTTTTGGAAAAGCAACACCCTGATTTGAGTCACGAAACACAAGCATGAGAAAACTGTCTTAGTTCCAAAACAGGGCCTCCCACTTCCATAAACCATTTTAGAAAGCATGAAGTTAATGATAGAGCATACCTGCTGGACACACTGTCTCTTGCTTGGAGTAGGCTGGACTTTGCGCAACTGCACTCTAGGAATAAAGTGGAACATATTTTTATAAAGTAACAATAAACATGTTAGTCTGATGATGATGATGATGATGATTCTTCATTAATGTATATTGTCTGCTATGTAGTAGAAGAGAGTTACAAAGCTCAATTTCACTCTATAACTTGTTATATTGTTACAAAAAACCTACCTACCTACCTGATAAATATTGATAAAACAACATGATATATAATGGCTTATGACAGCTTGTTGAGAACCCAGATATACATTGATACCAGCAGCAGATATAATAAAATCGGCTGATATGTTGAAGCAACAGGTTGTACGGGAAATTTGCTTCATAAAAACAGTAAATATATTTTTATGTTTTGTCTAATCTGTGTTCAGTGAGATATATTCTATATAGGTGGACGGGAAGGTTTGTCATCTATAGTGATGATTTTGGGACGTAGTGAAATAAAGTAGCGCATTAAAATGTGGACACAACAGCCTATGTAAATATAAATCCGATACATTTACACAGAAACATTAAGTCATGTCTATCCCTTAACCTTATGGCACAAGTACTTAAGTTTATTCAAGTCATTCTGTGGCAGCTCATCTGTAATCACTGTATGTATTAACAGAGATGCAGTATACTGGGCACTGTGCCAGCATCACATCAAGCCATTTGATAGTGGTTACTAGTTTTAAAACCCAACACCACATCTCACTTTAGGGGTTTAGTGGGCCGATGGCTCTGTGCGAGTAGGCTGCTTGTACTTTGTTAACTTAAGTTTATTTGTATATCCAAATATTACAGACAAGTTGCCAATGATGTTTACATGCTCACATCATCAACGATCCAGACACAGCCAAAGCTTTCTAAGAAGACAAGGAAAACAAAATGAAAAAGTTTTGGAACTTACCCCTTGTCCAGTGGATCCAGATTTTTCATGTTGCCTTAAATCTGTACAGATGGCAAAAATGTACAGTGCTGTACAAAGGAGCACCAGGAGCAGAGTGATAAGTCTGAGACGCATCTCCTGTTGCTTCATGTCCTGGCAGTGTTTGATGAGAATGAGCGCAGACTTCTCCGAGCCCATCTCTATTATTGCATCGCTGCAGGCAACTTCAGCTGGCAGAATGTGTCCCATCAGTCTCTGCCCCATGGTAGCAGGTCTGATCTCAGTTTAAGTAGCTGGTGGCTGGTCCTGAAAAAATCTGTTTACCGGTGATACATGGGGTGTCTTATATTAGCAGTCTACCGCCTACACCAAAATCATGAATTACCTCATCTCTCCATTCATGCAGATGAGAAAGGAGAAGAGAGAGAGGAGGAGCAGAGACTAGAGACCGGATTTATATGGAGGGATTATTGGGTCAGAACTAAAACTAAAAGTCTAAAACTAAAAGTTGAAGTCGAAAATGAATTTGGTATTTAGGATTGGGCATTTGGTATTTAGGATAGGGCATTTAGCCATTTAGGATTGGGAATTTGGGGATTTAGGATTTGGGGATTTAGGATTGGTGTTTTGGGGATTGAGGATTGAGTTGTGTATGCAAATGAGGAGGCGTGACCCAAAGCCTGCAGGGAGAGTTTGGAACGGCTGTGGCGCAGAGGCACTTTATGGACTGCAGGGGGAGCTCTGACTGCCAGCACACTGCCATGAAAGCAAGCAGAGGAAGTGAGCAGGGCTGGAGGGAGGACTATCATTTTTAATACCATAATTAAGAGTGTACAGCATTTTTGTCCATGTGGCCTCACACACAAAGTCAACAGTGAAAGGAATGCTATCCATCTGACGAGAAAGCAGCGGACAGTACAGCAGGTAAGATATGATAACATTAGCAAATTAGCTATATTAGGCTAACTGGTGCTGAGATGCATGAGTTACATTACTATCGGTACATGCAGGTTTTAAATGTGGCTATTAACCCCGCTGAGGGCTGTGTGTATAAACTGTAAAGATAAGGTGTAGAAGCTGTGTTTCTGGGTAAAAGCACCATGCTGGGCAGGTGACAGGTGTGTGTTTACAGTGTTTGTGAGTTCTGAAAAACATAACAGCGCAGCTATAAAGTCTCAGCCGGCAGACCTAGTATGGTATTATTACTACACACGTATGGATGTAACGTTGAGGCCTGATAGACATCCGCTAATCAGAAACAGAGGACACTACCTGCATCACTGCTGATATCATTTGACCAGGGAGACAATGGTGATTAATGTGATTGTCATCAGTGTTTTCCTATAGTGTCTCCTTTTGTTCTTTCATTTCAGTGTGTTTCTAGTGTTCCCGTCTGTCCCTGTGTTTGTTATTGTCCCATGCTCAGTCTCCTGGCTCCCGCTCAGCTGCTTATTTGGGCCTAAAGTCTACACTAGAGGTTTTTGAGGTTACCACAAGCTCCACTGTTTTTCCCCACTGACTTGTCCTCCCCCCTGCAAACACTTGGTGTCACAGCTTTGGATCAGCCATCTGCAGCAGAGTCCCAGTCCACTGGGTCACACAACAAGTTGGAAATTACAGCTACATTCAGTAACCTCTGGATCCACTCAGGACATTTTCTCTCACTTAGACATAATTTAGTCTTCATTGAAGGCTTGTATTTTATCTTACAGAGTTTCTATGTGATCTATAATTACTACCTTATTTGCTTCAAGTGGTGGGTGCCGCTGAAATTAGAAAGAAAAATTTGGGCTAATTTGGCTTTTAGTTATGATTATGTAGTTTGTCATTTGTTCTGCTGTCTTTGGAAGAATTTGCTCATTTGTATAGGCAGAAAAATAAAACTGGAAATTGGCATAACATTTCCTTATACTTCCAATTTTACGATAATAAAATCAGTGTTCTTCAATTATGTGTAGAAGCTTCCTACACCAGGTAATGACAGATAGAGACAGCGACGTCACCTCACAAGGCCTGACCTGCACACGTTTATTTGACGTCGTTTTTTCATCCTGAAAACAAGTCTTTAAAAACTATTTGTAAGAAATAAATATTTACCTTCTGAGCCATGACCCTCTAATTTCCAGGTTTTGCAGTATATGAAGCAACATTATATATTTAACACAGCCCTGTTCTTCTCCCATTTACATTGATCTGAACTGGCACTGTTGACAAAACCTGGACTCATCACATGGATACAAAACTCAGGAACTTTATTCCATAGGGCAGGAAAGTTTGTAGTCTCCTTATGCTACACACAGCACATAACAGATAGTTAGATATACATTTGAATATGGTAACATAAAAATGGCCTATACAGTTATTGTTTTACAAATATACAAACACAGATACACCCAGGAAGTAACTGTCCAGTGCATTTTTTAAATTTGTGTCAGGGAGAATGTAAACAGCAGTAAGGTCATAATGGTAATATGGTTTTCTCCAACAGGACCTCAGTCTATTTTTTACCTCAAAAAGTTTTTGATCATCCAGTACTTGATGTCACTGATACAGTTGTCAGGGTCATAATAGGGCTGAGGATATCATGTGAAAGTGAAAATACACAACTGAGCCTTGTGGGACCTCAAAGAAAATGTCATAATTGCCAGTTTAAAAGTTGTCAAGAGACACAGAGAATGTCCTGGCAGTTAGATAAGAAGAGAGCCCCTTTAAGACACGGCCACATTGCCCAAATGAATTTTCTAGTTTACTGATTGAAAAGCTGTGGTTAACAGTATCTAAGGCTGCAGTCTATTCTAGAAATACTAGGATAGAAGGTTTGTTTGCAGCATTGTTGATCTTTTCATCACTGACTACTTCAAAGCTGTTTCAGTGCTGCGCTTGGTCCTGAAGCCAGATTGCTGCACATCGTATAGATTGTGGAGGGAGAGGTAATTATGCAGGTGGTCTGTAGTTGCTTATCACTAAGGGGTTTAGCTGCTTTATCACCTCTTTTGGATCATAGAGGTAGTGGGTGAAAAATGATGCATTGTGCCCACAGTATTGTGATGGTGTAGGGGCATTAGATGAACGAAAGATGACTAGGGTTGGAAATCTGAAGGTATCTGAAGGAAGTTTGTGAATAATGTCAGATGAGATGACGTGGGCAGTGGCGAATGGGGGACGCATGGCTGGCTGTCCAGCAGAAGGCAAACGTGAGGCAGAGGAGCAGGTGGTGATCCTGAGGTACAAGAAACAAAAGGTTAGTCACAAAGAAGACACTAGGAAGCAAAGGAGAGATGATGAGGCAGGAGCTCTGAGTTGATTGAGCCTGAGATGTGAAACTGAGTTTTCAGTTCTTAAACAGCTGATCAAAACTAGTTCAATCAACCCTGAGTGTGAAAATTACAATTCACCATGGCAATGGGTAAACAAAAGAGTAAAGTCTCCATTTTAATCCAGTGGTGCTAGAACTATGAATTCATGCTAACACGGACCATTTCATTTATCTTAAAAAAAAACTTCAGTGGAGTAAGGATTAATGATTCAACACTATTACATTTGATTCAGTGAAGCACATTCATTGTTTAATAAAGTGCTGATATCCTCTTCTGTATGTTGCATTGGATTTATTAACTGATGGGGACTAAATTCAGGTGGCAATAACTGAAGATGAAATTATGAATCAGAATAAGACAGTTTACTCAAATACCTGTGAATGTAAAGTCACAGTCCAACCCAGTAATAAAGATTGTGGTGATTTGCAGTTGAAAATTCATCTAGGTTCAAATTGACTCTATTTTACATGCGTTTTGAAGACTATCTGTAGATGTTCAAAGACTTTGGAACTCCATTTAGTCCATACCCAACATTAATCATGGTGCATCCCATTTCTAATTTTCTAACTAGCAGTTACTAAGCCTCTAGTGTCGAGTTTATGCCCGAACTTAGGAGAGAAGTAATTGTTGCACATCTGAAGGAAAACTCAGTGTGGCTTTGAATATCTTTACTAAAATCAGCAAAATGAACAGAACGAAACATTGTTATCAGCACGGTCAGTTCAGTCATGTTAAGTTACAGAAATGCACTGCTATGTTGAGGCTTCTCACATAACTCACTAACAGTATACCAATAAAGGAAAACATCTGGCACAACTCTTACATTATACAGATTTGTATTGTAGCTCCTGTTTATTACAGCTGCATGTACAGTCATGTTACAGGCTTTAGAGACACAATTTCTTATATGTACCACCACAAGGTCTTAAGCGGATGATACATGGACTATTTACGTCTACTTACGTCTACGTACGTTCCGTTGCAACATACCTGCAAAATACACAAACAGATCGGTACATTGTTATGAGCATGGTCTGCACTGCCTTGTTGAGGCTGCTCCTAACATAACTCACTAACAGTATACTCCCTCTTGTGGTAAAAGTGGGATCTAACACTTACTTTTTAACAATGGCCTAATTGTGTAAGGGACACTGTCACACCTGTCACCTGCCCAGCATGGTGCTATTACCCAGAAACACAGCTTCTACACCTTATCTTTACAGTTTATACACACAGCCCTCAGCGGGGTTAACAGCCCTGCTCACTCCCTCTGCTTGCTTTCATGGCAGTGTGTTGGCAGTCAGAGCTCCCCCTGCAGTCCATAAAGTGCCTCTGCGCCTTAGCCGTTCCAAACCCTCCCTGCAGCCTTTGGGTCACGCCTCCTCATTTGCATACACAACTCAATCCTCAATCCCCAAATCCCCAAAACACCAATCCTAAATCCCCAAATCCCCAAATCCCCAATCCTCCATCCATCCATCTTCATCCGCTTATCCGGTGTCGGGTCGCGGGGAACCCCAAACCTAAATCCCCAAATTCCCAATCCTAAATGGCTGAATGACTAAATGCCCAGTCCTAAATACAAAATAAATTTTCAACTTTGACTTTTAGTTTTAGATTTCGACTTTTAGTTTCCAATTTCGACTTTTAGTTTTAGTTCTGACCCAATAATCCCTCCGTAAATTTATGTACAATGTACAAAACTTGTGAATTTTTTCTATACCTCTAATGGCTTTTATCATTATGATTATAATAATAAAACATTTAATTTTTTTGATTTTTTAGTTTGTGCCAGAATATATATTTTTTTCTAAACTGGTAGAAGTATTTTGGAATTTTAGAAACAGTATAAAGTTTTGTTGGAGCAGTGTTTATTTTTCCGGCCACTTGAGGGCAGCAAGCTGTTAACAAAACATAGACTTAATATCACCTATTAAGGTTGCTTATTTACACATTTCTGCCAAACAGAAAACAGTATAATGTAAATGGAGCTGTGTTTCTAGCATTCAGTCTCTTTAAGTTCATTTCTTTTTTATGTTAAATCAAAACAATTT